TGAGGCAGATCCCAGCATGCTCACTGCCTGTTCACATCTACTTGTTGGCTAAAACTATAGTGAGAACGCCCAGTGTGGTGATTCGACTCCAGGAATCTCAGCACTCAGAAGGCAGAGATGAGGGGTGCAAGGCCAGGCTTGGCTACAAAGTGAGTGCCAGGTCAGTCTCTGAGACTCTCTCCAAGATAACCCCAAATGTTAAAACAATTAAATAACTTTAGAAATTGAAAAGTAAACTACCCACAAATCTCCAGAACTTTCTCACCTCAGCCAGATCTTCGTACCGACTATGACCTTCTCACTCCCATTGCCCAAGCTCTTAGCAACCACTGTCTCTACAAACTTGACTACTCCACGTCCTTATACAAGAGGACTCACAAAATGCTTGTGTTTGAAGCTGATATATTTCAATCTGCACAGCTTAATCAAGGCTTATCTGTTACGGAATGTGCTAGAATGTCCTCCCTTTCCAAGTGCAGTACACATGCATTACCACATTGTGTCCACACGCTCATCTCATGATGGACACTTGCACAGCTACCTTCTGGCTATGGTGGAAACTGCTTTCGGGAACAGGAATAAAAAGGGGGGTTGCTTTCCCTGAGATCAGGGCTTCACAGAGGTCACCGAAAGGAATGTAACGAAACTGACTGTGGAAAGTGCCCGTCCTCTCCGCGAGCATGAAGTTTGCCTGCTGAGCAAAGGATGCGGTGCATCTCTCTGATTCCTTCCAATTTAAGGCATCCTAGGCGTTTTTAAGTTCAGTGATACCCCGATGACTTCGAGGTACCATTTGAAACCCACACCATAAAATGCTGAGGCCACCGTTACCTTGTTCCCAGGTTATTGGGATGTAATCCTTAATCAAAAAAAAAAAAAAATAACACTGTCAAACCTACACTTCACACCAGTGTTCCCCTGTAACATCCTCAAAGACTTAAATTCTCTGGATGCAGTCCCAAGAGTTAATACAATCGCTCTCGGGGCTCAGAAAGTGCTCTTTTTATTACTGTGTAAACTCTACACTGTTCCAAAGCAATGAGACTCCACTCATTAACTTTGTGTGACTTTACCTGAACTACAAGGCGCTCACACGTTTGGTGAGACATTATTCTTGGTGTTCACATTGGGCGTTTCTGGATGAGCTTAACATTTACACCAGCAGACTAAGGAAGGGGACTGCCCTCCTTAGTGATACAAGACTGCATCCAATCAGGCCTGAACAGAGCAAAAGGTCGACCTTTCTCTACATGAGGGGCAACCCTTTCCGGCGTGGTTGTTTTTGAACTGGACATTGGTTTCTTCTCCTTGCCTTTGGACTTGCAGTGAAATACTGGCTCTTCCTGAGTCTGGAACGTGCTGGCCCTTAGACACAAATTCTACCTTTAGTTCTTCTGGTTCCCTGGCCCTCAATTCTGACTGGAATTAAATCACCCACTCTCCTGGGCCACCACAATCTCCTTATCAAATTCCTAATAGTAAGACTCTATTTCCCAGGTGGTGGGGGGCACACACCTTTAACCCCCAGCTCTTGGGAGGCAGAAGCGGAAGCAGGCAAATCTCTGAGTTCAGACAAAGCCTGGTTTACAAAAGCTAGTTCCAGGCTGGGCTATGGTGGCGCACACCTTTAATCCCAGCACTCGGGAGGCAGAGGCAGGCGGATCTCTGTGAGTTCGAGACCTGCCTGGTCTACAGAGCTAGTTCCAGGACAGGCTCCAAAGCCACAGAGAAACCCTGTTTCAAAAAAGAAAAAAAAAAAAGCTAGTTCCAGCACAAGCTCCAAAGCTCCAAAGAGAAACCCTTTCTCAAAGAAAGAAAGACAGAGACAGAGAGACAGAGAAGACCACAAAATGAAAGACTCTATTTCTATGCACTCACATGGACGTGTGCGTGCACACACTCTCTCTCTCTCACACACACACACTCTAATATACACTCTCAAGCTTTTTTTTTCCCCCTGAGCCTCCACTGGTATGCCCAGAGCTACATGGTGCCCCAGGGTCAAAGCATCTCCCGCCTCTACTCTTCTTAGTGAGTCACTCAACCTCTTTGTGGGTTGCCTTCTGTTCACTCTCCTCCAGCTTCTGCTCTTATAAAACTCTATACTTCCAAGGCATGCGGAGCCTGGCAGAAACGAGAAACCTCCCCTGATCTCATGCCTCCAGGCTTAGATGGTGTTTTCCTCCATGCCCAAAACAAATGCCAGAGGGCTCCCTCGTGTGCACACAGGCCACGCCAGCTCATGCACGAACACACTCGTGCTGTCTTGTACACACAACTGAGTGAGTACAGTTACAACGTGAGCACCTCACTTTCCACAGGTGTGCTAACACAGCCCATTGCACTCCTGCATCCACCTAGGCCATGGAGCCCTCTCAAAAGCTGACAGGCGGGGGTACAGAGATGGATCTGTTTGTGACCTGCTAGCTCTGCAAGGACTTGAGTTTGGATTCCCCAGAACCCACAGAAATGCCAGGAGTGGAGAAACATGGCTGTCACCCCAGACCAGGGAAAGCAAAGATGGGATTTCTGTAGTGTGCTGGTCAACTTTTCTAGCAAAACCACTGAGTTCCATATTCAGGGGTGAGAGACCTCATCTTTAAAAAAAAAAATAATAATAATAATAATGTGGAAAATAACTGAGGAAGAGACCAGCACTGACGTCTGGACACCACACTGCCTGCACATGCACACACATGTACTCACACACACAAAGATTGCCACACTCCTCTGAGTATACCCCCACGCCAGAGCCCTCAGGCTTTCTAACTACCCATCTATTTGTCTGAATTCTCAAACATTTTAAGGCGAGGACTACATTTTACTAGCAAGTCTTCCAGAAGAACAATGGCTCTCTATGTCCGATGATTATTTGTTGAGCAAATGATCGGAAGGAGTTCAAACAAGCCCACACCATTGGCTGTTGACTTGATTTATGAATTCTGACAAGATCAGCAAGGGACAATTCAACTACTCTAGAAGGAACAACTCAACTACTCTGGCCTCACTGAGACCATAATGCTATTCAAGCTGTAAGGATGAGAGGAATAACTTTAGATTGTCCCCAGCCTCTTATCTGTGAGAACTTATGCTCCAAGCATGTTGACAGGAAGCCAGGCACCGTCTACTAACAGAGAGCCAGCAAGCCTCCAAGGAAGAACTGGGAGGCAGTACTTGCTCAACATGCATTACAAGGTATACTGGCCATGACAACACACTCAGACTCACTTGACCTAAGTTCCCGAAGCACGTTTCAACCAGGATTATAATGATGACGTCTATCAAAGTACCATTCCTGACGTCTATCAAAGTACCATTCCTGAGCTCTTTCTTAGTGTCCCCAGAGTGCTTGTTCTTTTTGGACCTTCATCAGTTAAATCAAGCACAGCCTACATCCTGAGATGGTGCAAGCCATCTCTGAGTCCATGTTGGAAAGCATCCCCACATGCTGCCTGACACATACGTGACATGAAACATGCAGATTGGTAATAATATCACCATTAGCACTGGAGGTCACACGGAGAAACACGGGTGCCTATAAAAAACAAGCCGCAGCTCGCTAGTCAAGACGAGCTGAGAGGTGTCGTTGGAGCAATGCCTCTAAAACCCAACAGAGGCATTTGGAAGGAAGACACAGTGCTCAGCCGCATGGGACCTAACAGTGACAAACTAGTCTGGAAAGGGCCCCGGAAAACTTTACCTGAACTTAAATACCAGTACCTCTAGGAGAGCAAACAGCTCCAAAGAGAAACTAGACTAAATATAATTTAAGTATAAAAATAGATAATAAAGTGTAAGAGAAATATAAAAGCTACATTTATGTTTCCTGTTGTGGTGTGTTTTTTTTGGGGGGGGGGGATTTTTTAAAAATCTCTTCATCTACACCAAACACCATAGACACCATACATCTTACACCAAAATACACAGACACCAAGACAAACAATCCTTTGGCTACAGGTCTGTTATAAATCATTATTCACATTAATTAAAAGCGTAAGTGGCTGTTCAGAAGCCTGCCGGTAAATCTACTGAGCAAGATAAGCACTTTGAATACAAACATTTACTACTAAGTGGTAAAATACCTTAAGGGATATACAGAGTGCTATTTTACATAAAAAGCTGTAGCTATGTAGGCTACAGGCTCTTTTTCTTCCTAGCCTAAACACACACACCATCTGCAACATAAATTCATTAAGTCCACCCCAGTTGCTGGAGAAAATATCTTTCAAATACTTTATTAGTCCTCAACAACTACTCTTTAATTTGAAATATATGGCAACCCAATTAATACTGAGTTAAAAGCACACAGTGTATTTCAAATTATCCAAATTTTCTAGTCCCTCACAAATTTTAAATACATGTTTATTATTCTTGGCGGGGACAGGGTTCATCAGTGGAGCAGTTGCCTAGTGTGTTATTGTAAAGGCCATGGTTTCAAGCCCCAGTATAAAGGGGAGTGTGTTGTGCGTTATTCCAACTTGATGCCCTCTGTTGATTTCACTCTCAATTGTCTTATTTATATTAACTTATTCCTCTTTTTACTGGTTATTACAATGTCTCCCTTTTAACCCTTCCCTTCCAAGCACAGCTTTTCTTCTAGTACTTCTAACACCAGCACTGGTTCTGGTTCAGCCCGGTCCTCCAGGGCTGAGAGAACCCACCCCTCTACTCCCAGAAGCCAAGGCAGAGCCACATGTATGCAGAAGACAGACTTCATCGCCTTGCTCCTGAACTCCTGCCCCACCGCCTGCCCCTATTTCCCTTTGAAGCTGAACCTTCTGCTTTACCTGCCTCTCCGCTTCACATTCTGAGGGGTCACACACTTGTGCCTAGCATTCACACACAACTACACAGTCAGCCCCTTACCAAACATGAGACTGTGAACTTTGATTCTGACATTAACTTAAACATATTTTCTACAGAACTCGCTGGCAGTGAAAAGACATGGGGGAGATAAAATTTTATCCCGTTTTTAAAAGATTTCAAAATGACAATCCTACCTTTCTCGGGATTTGGAGAAAAGGGGTCTCCAAATTCTTGCTGTTTGGGCTTTACAGTAAGCGATGCGGCCAAGCCACGGCCCTGAGTGGCGGGAAACTGAGGCTTCCCATTGGTGAGTAACTGTCTCCTGGGGCTCAGGGCGGGCAGATGGATGGGGCTCAAGGCCACGTCGCTCTGAGCAGCAATCCCTGCTCCGGAGGACATCCTGAGGTGGAGGCTGTTAGCAGGACTTCCAATAGCGGGGCTGGGTAGGCTGGCACAGGACGAGGGGCCCGGAGCGCCCGAGTGGGCTCTGATGGGAGGAGTATGTTGACCACTGAGCAACCCAGGCCCCTGCGGGTTTCTTGATGGCCGATGGAGACTCATGCCACATGACCTTCCATTCATCCTGAAAGCCCTAAGGCCAAGATGGTCAGTATCCAATGGCGCTACTGATCCTTTCACGGTAAGTCAAGTAATGTATCCATGGGATAGGTGATAAGTCTGTTTAAAACAAAAATCAAATACAGGCGTTGGGAAAGACAGAACTGAAAATAAGACACAGCAATTTTTCAGCTTGTATAACATTCATACCAAGACAAAAAGAAACACAGTAAGCAAACTGGCTTCTCTCGTAGACACGATCACAAAACACACAGATCCCTGGCGAAGACTTTCTATTTCTGCATTCATGGGAAGCTTGTAGTATATGGGTCACTGCATTGTCCTGTTTGCCACTGTGCCCTTCTCAACACGGTGGCTCTCTCAGCAGCTACCATCAGTCTAGGAGGACTGCTCCCACGATGTAACTCATTCTATTCCCAAAGGACCTTACACTTCATTTCCCCCACAGAGTCTTTGGAAACCTAGAACACCAGCCTTTGGGGACTGAGAGACTCAATTTCTGATGTCCCCAGTCAGCAAATACAAAGCCAACATGACGTTCATCTTAAGAGGAATATTTTCATAGTGCCCAGGTTTGCAGAAAGTCAGAATTTCTAAGCCTGGGAATTTTAGTTTTTGTCGTTCCTTATGCTGAAATACTTACAGCAGCATCAAGACTTTAAATCCATGTTGACCCTGAATTATGGAGCTAGAAACAGACTCAATGTTACAATACTCCACCTTCCATGTGAGGGTCTGGGAAAGTAGAGAGTTATAAACAAGACCTCCTGGAAAAAGCAGACTGAGGAACCCTTAAGGTGGAGTGCCAGTATGTACACAGAAACCCTACTGTATTACGTATATACACAGTGTTAAGGAGCCTCCGATGAAAGCAGAAAAAATACAAATGTGTCCACAGAATGCTATTCTCTACTTGTATGTGATGACATCAACACTCCCTAGGGTAAATCACTAAGGAAAGCTCTCCCCACTCCCCAACCACTCACTCTTTAAAGTAGGTCTAATGAAGTAGCCAAGCGACACCATGGTGCCTCTACTGCAAATGTCTGAAACAGCCACTATGTATCTTTTACAGAGACAAGATAGTCACAGGAGTAGCCACCGCTGAACAAACACAGGAAATGAAGACTGAGAACAAGTCAATAATATCCATATGTCTTCAACAGGAAAAAAAAGTCAGGATTTTTTTATCCTGTGAGATCCACCTGAAGTCTTGAACGAATATTTTCAACTCAACTCCGAAAGATCCAAGAGAAATGGCGGCACCAATCATTGTGGGAAGGCTACCGAGGAATGAAAACTTCTTCAAGGACATTGTTTTATTTCACCATTTTAGGGAATACAATATACTCAAATGTTCTCCGTTCTTTCCATGAAATTTACCACGTGTGCCTACACTGAGGCACTTTGTGATTCAAATATAAGATTCAGAATGTGCTTTTTACTTCTCTGCTTTGCCAAGAATCCCACCCTTTGATGACATTAGCTTTGCCACCCCTAAGAGACACTCCAGAACTCTCTCTGTCATATATCTGCCACTCCCACTTCCCCTGCCACTACAGGTCAGTTATCCAAACCCACATGACTGAATTTCTTTATGAAACAGTAAGAAGAGAACTTGCTACTCAACTGGTCTTAAGTCAGTTCTTCTTCGACTCTGGAAAACTCCCTGCACACTGTCTGTCGTGTGCACATCTATTGTGTGCACGTGGAGCTACATCGTATTACCAACCACTCCCTTCGATCTTGAGCAAGAATCAAAGGCATTACCACTCCCCGCTCATTCATAAAATCGTGCTTTCTAAGCACTCTGTACTTTCAGAGGAAGCTTTTATTCAGTAGCTACCAAAAAGGGAAAAAAAAAGCAAATAAATATGCCATATTGGCCAATTTTTGAAAATGAAGAATGGTCCAACATGACTGGAGTCGGTTAAACCATGTCCAAGTGGCAAGTGTCTGCAGATCTGTTGACTGTGCTCATTTCTGTTTTGTTTTGTTTTGTTTTGTTTAAAAAAAAGTAAAGCAGAGTCATTTTTGCCCCAGCAGCAATATAAAGCAGTTCTCCTCAAAGTCTGGGTCAGAAGCGCATCACTAACAATGCCAGCATTAGGCGCGGCCATCAAGAACCTGCGAGAAGGGAAGGTGAGAGAGCAACAGCAGAATCAAGCATCACGCTTAATTAATATCATACCGATATATCGTACATGAATATTTATTTTGCCTTATTTTTTATAAATTGCACTCCTATTTGAAATAGGTTTAAATAAAAAACAACAACAAAATGTACTTAACTTTTATAACTGAGAAAAAAGAAGCTCCCCCCTCCAAAATGGCATGATTAATATAGAAAAAAATTAGGCAAACAAGCATTAAAGTTAAGCAAAACCACCCATGTGGTTGGAAAAAAAGAAAAGATAAAAACTACATGGTGAGGTGGGGAGGTGTAAGATGAAAAGAAATAAAGAAACTATATAGGGAAATATGCCTAAAATTGAAGTTTTCACATGAATTATGTCAACAAATCTTTGGAGCATTCAATGCTAGGAGCTAGAAAATCAATTTGGTTTACTCACAGTGTAACGTTTTCTGTACTTCTGAGCTAAGTCATTGATCACAATATCATTTCAAGCCCACTGGATAAGAAAGAAGAAGTAACCCACTCGACTTTAGGAAAGACCTATGTTCAAACATCAGTGAGAAGCTCTGAAGAAGCCAAGGAGCTGAGACCTAAGTCACAAGATCTGTGGACTCAGTTCGTTCTTTCAACTCTAAAAGCCTGGGAAGGCAAACACAATCACTAGGGTCTCTTGATAGTCTGTTTTCCCTAACACTTTAGATAAGAAGTACTACTTTAAAAAACACTCACATACTACAATAACAAATTAATATATCGAATCTATTTCTTTATGAATTAAAGCTAGAGGAACTGTGTAGACATAGAACTGAAAGAGTAGCCCTCTCTACCAACCCAGTTTAAAGACTGTTGGGAGGGCCGGGCCTTCCCTAACACCATGCACAAAGACATCACTGATCAAAAACAAAGGGATGCAGCACTAAATATAGATTCTGCTAGGAAAATCAAATCCCTGGCTGATATACTTTACCAGGAAAATTTCACTGAGAGAAACTTTTTTGTTTTAAACAAAGATGCATTTACTTGTATTTTATATGTGCTAGTGTTGTGTCTGTACCATTAGCCTGACTGCTGCCCACAGAGCTCAAAAGAGGAGGGCAGATCCCCTGAAATTGGAGATATCCACAGTTCTGAGCTGCCATGTGGGTGCTGGGAACCGAACCTAGGTCCTCTGCAAGAGCAGCCAGGGCTTCTAATTTGAGCCATCTTGCCAGTCCTCTCTTTTTATTTGAAAATTTTCACAAGCTTCTCCTCCATCTTAGGCTCAAACATTCTACTCAAGACTACACACACACACATATATAATGTTCAGGATTTTCATATATGACGTTTTGCCAAACTTAGATTTTTATACCCCACTGGGTCTCAAAATGAAAATGTTCACTCTGCTAATGAGTTACTAAATCTTTCCTTCTGACCACTTTCAACCTCTTAAAACACTCCTGTAATTCAGGTCAGAGAGGAAATGACTTAACCCCTAAGGAAACTTAAGGTAGAAAAACCATTTTAATAATGCCACTCGCTCTCTAAAAAAGCATCAACTTTGATCAAAATACAAAATCGTGGCTCAGTCTCCTTCGCAGGGCTCCAGACACTGCTCCTTATAGAGTAAGAGAGATTAGACAAACGAAAGCAACGGTAACTCATCCTCTCGAGAAAATTCCAGAAACGAGTTCTATAATGCCTATTTACAGCCAAAGGCCCTTTCTTCGTAAATACCATTAATAGACTCATCGAGAATCATAATTCATCCGATGAGCCAGTTAATTATTAATTTTCATACATCATTTCATTTCCTTAGGCTACATTTAGCCTTTGTTACATTTTCCATTCCTTATACTGAGAGCATTTCTTACCCTGCACACACACACGCACACACACACACACACAAAATCCTGTTAATAAAGCACAAATAACGGTCAGGAAGCAAACTGATCCTGAATATGATAATTTTTATATATATGCATATAAGCAAATATGTGTGTGCATTTATGTTGCGTGTGTGTGTGTGTGTGCATCCACACGTAAGCCATCTACGACATGCTACTCTTTTCATTCTCCCCTTTTGGGTTAATGATTGTATAATTTCATTAAGCTCTGTCATTTCAACTTCACTGCCTTCATCGTTTAATAGACCCACGCTATTCTCCTGGGCTTCTCCTGTTACTGCTTTTCGTAGCCAGAAGACTATAGAAATGAAAAACCTATTGATGGGTAATATAAGGTATTCTCATGCACGGCTGCAGTGTGAAGCAGATTTTGCAATTTAATCAAGGACAGGTAGAGCTGAATGTTCTTATATCCCAAGAGTTCATTTTTATAAGCAGAATGTACCTTGTTCTAACACAGGTGACTGACTCCTCCGTAAAGACTGTATAAACAAAAACCAATCATGTAAGTCATTTTATTGGCAACAATATAAACACAGCTATATTAGATGTCACCAATAAATCAGAGTGATTCTTGTCGGCAATTTCAACAAGAGGAGAGTGCAAACATGGGTCCATGACGTGGGAGGCTATTACGGAGGAACTATATGGGACGTGGACAGTATCATTTCTCTGAGCCAAAACCGGAATGTCCTCTATTATGATGAATGAATCCACAGCAAGACAGTTGTTTGTATGGGTTGCTAACTGTATGCACTGAAACCAACAGAGTCACAAAAGTTTCACAAGAAGAAACTCACATTTGAGTTTCAGAGCAGAAACTCAAAGAAGCGTATAAATCTTTTCACTCAAGTACTCTCAAGGCCTAATTAAGACTGTAAGAATATTACCACATTTATGTCGAACATCTGTTTATACTGACGTTAAACAATACACTCTCTGGTAAGATGAAATCAGAGATCTCACTTTACCACTAATTAATGAGACAAATGAGTGTTCCCAGCAAGCAATCCACCCAAGTCTACCAAAGACCACTCAGAAAAGACAGAAAAGCTTAGATTAGGGCCTCTCTTCAA